TTGTTTTAGGATTTCTATGTCTATCTAGTCTCTATTTATGGAGATAAAGATGTTACAATCCATGTACAATAATAATTGAGTTTTAATTAAAGTCCATATCTAATTAAGCCCTTGTTTGGGCCGAATTAAAATATGATTTTAATTCAAGTCAAAGTCAAATATTAACAACATCTTTCATGGGTCCCACAACTTTTCAATCATGCATTTCAAAAACTTCTATCACATTCAACTAAAAATCTAATTTTAATCTCCACCAAACACCCTTTAATTTACATTTAATTACATGTGTAATTCTAGAACTTCAATTACAATTAAGATTACAAATTTCATAGCGATTATAATTGAGTACAAAATTTTATTATAATTACAATTAAGCCCAAAAATTTTATAATAATTGCAATTAAGTCCCGACACTTTATAGAGCTACAACAGAGACCTGATTGAACATATATTATACGAGCTCCAATAATTATATCTTATCTAGTCGACCCTAGATCACTCAATCTTTATTTTTTTTTCCACTAAAGACAAAACACCGCACTCTCGAAATTTATAAGATCGCAAAAACCAATAAATCCGTAGTACTTTCCGCTTACCTATTGTATATGTATTTTATCCATGTCCGATATTCTATAATTAGGTACGAGTAGAAATGATTGTTTTATCCCTCTAATTATTCTCATTAATTTAAGTACAATTTTCTTTAACGGTTCTTGAACTAGTCACAGATGTTGAAATTTAGCCGTCGATAAATATTGAGCTCAAATTTTAACAGTTGAACAGAAAATACCCATTTTTCAAGACGACATTCCTGACATGAATTCGTATTCTTTACTTCGCTCATTCTCAAGTTCCTAACTCACCAAGATATTTGATCAATGAAATTGATCTCACCCATTGGTGAATCAAAGAACCATGAAAATACAAAAATATATACATAATCCCATTAGAGATTTAGATGAAATACACGACGATCAAGTGGAATTTAATTCTTCGCAAGGTCATATCATACTATAGAATTAAACTCGACATGCGATCCGTTCAATACACTCCAAGTGTACTAATATCACCTTTAATTATTTCTATTATAAGGACAAATTTCAAACATAAGTACTGAATCGATCAATACTACAACCTTCCGTACAAGGTGTCAACTCTTGTACATTGATTGTGAGTGAAATATTTATAATCAAAATATAAGTTGTGTCACAATGTGCTTCTTAACACAAGTACTCAACTTACATTATCACAAGTGATTATTAGCACTTTAATTCGCATGCTCAATAATAAATGTATTATGAAAATTGGAATGCTCCAATACCAATTTGTTGTAAAAATATAAGAGATTAAGCCGCAATATGAAGTAATTGATCACAAGAACAATATAATTTGCAGAGAATTAAGATTTTATTATAATATGGAGAGATAATACAAAAATTATGTATTTATGATTTGCCTAACTTTTTTCTAAATCATAATGAAGAGCCAACTATATATAAGGAACAAATAAGAGACGTCCAAACTCTTATAATATTTGAAGTAGAATGTCAAAAATGGAATCAAAAATGGAAAATGAGACTAAAACACGTAGGGAGGCAGAATAGCTGTTGGCACCTCGTCTCCGACCCAAACTCCTTCCAACGATTTTTTCTTCATTCCAAAATCTTTTTCAAGTTCAACACAAATTCTTACTTCCAATGGACTTTCAAATAGAACTTCAATCAGAATTCGTCAAGTAAATTTGAATAAGATTTCACAATTACATTCCAAATAGAATTTTAATTAATGTGCACTTTAATTAGAACTCTCAATTATATTCAATAAAAAATTCGAGTCATGCCCAAATTATAACAAAATGAATGGAATAAATAAATAAATAAAATCATAATTTATTTATTATAAGTTATCATTTTAACATCGCAAAATATACTATATGAGCACACAACTCAATATAAGCAACGACCAAGGTGCTGGGTGACGGAGAGCTCTTGCTTGTGATTTTTCACAATATGAGCACTTGAATTGGATGTATTGGGAGTTCAATGTGCACTTAATTTGTCTTTTGAGTAAATTTGTTTCCAGTTGGGCGTGGATATGGGATAAGATTGATTATTAGGCCCTATTTGATGGAATTAAAAAAAAAAAAAAATTTTTTTTTGCATACTCATTTTCAACCACACATTCACACAATAAAATATTATACACGTAAATTCGAAACATTTTCTTACTTTTTAATAACACATTCTTAAAAAAA